CATTTGTTACACTATATGACATATGTGTCACACTCAATGACATGTGTTACACAACATGACATATTTGTCACACTAGATGACATGTGTGTCACATTACATGACATGTGTGTCACACTCAATGGCATTTGTTACACTATATGACATATGTGTCACACTCAATGACATTTGTTACACTATATGACATATGTGTCACACTACATGACATGTGTGTCACACTTAATGACATGTGTTATACTAGATGTAGATGACGTATGTGTCACACTAGATGACATTTGTTGTACACTAGATGACATGTTTAAGTATAATTAAGAAAACCAATATCTTGAACATCCTTGAACTAATATTTACCACTTCATTAAATTGCCACTATAAAATCCTATCAAGTTCAGATGGCTTTCATGTGAGCTATGAATGCCATGGCCAATGTGTTACATCATCAATATTATCATATTTCTAATGTTGAATATCACTAGCCATCACTTGAAGATGGCTATTCAATTCCTACATACACTTATTTCAACTGAATGCATTTTTTTTTATTAATTGATATAATTTGCTATGAGATTAAATTAACTTTTAAAAGAGAAAATGTAAAATATTAAACAGATAGCACAATTCCTGGAAATTTTCATGTTAAGTAGGCATTCAAATTGATTGAAAATTGACTATGAATGCCAACTGAAAACAGTTAAGAGGTCATAGAGGTAAAATTGTCTGCATCGATAAGAGGTCATAGAGGTAAAATTGTCTGCATCGATCAACTAAGCTAGTATTGTATGGCCTGAAAATTGGTTGTAATACAATGTTGTAATTCACCATACATGTAATAAATATTCTTATATATACGTGGAAAGTGTGCATACTTGCCAACTCTCCTTATTTGGAGGAAGACTCCCAATATTGGACCCTATAAATTAGCATTTTCATCCAGTGATTTAGCTAAACTATTCCTATCTTCTAAAATCTGTTGATTTTATCTGAAAGAACAGCTCAAAAGATGCCATTTAAAAGTGCTATCTTTTCCCTAGGGTATGGTGTACCAAGACAATTCTATTTATGTCTTTAATTCTGAGTGGGTAATCTCCCCTATGGAAATTTCAAAAAAGTTTGCAAGTACAAGTATGGATAAATACTGTTACATGAAAAGTACTGTTGATGGGTAGGTAAATACCAGGCTAGACTAAATTCTGTTCAATCTTTGTAACAATGATTATTTACATTTACAGGAATGTGGGGGCCAATCAGACAGTCAGCGCATGTATGTGACCCAAAAATACCCCTCAGACAAACTGTACATAGTTAACGAGAAATATACCCCAACAGACACCATGGACATTCCCCTCCTGCACAGGGAGTTAGTCGGTGTAGTCATGGAAAAGGACCCATTGGGCAACAAGGATCGGTGGTTTGTTGACAATGGAGGTAAGTAGGTGATGTAAATGGTATGCGCATGTTATTACTTGATACATAGATACTTAATACACTTCCCACAAGTATTTTTCAAGGTCACAGTTTTAGCTCACCTGGTACAAAGTGCTGGCATGCTTAAGGTATGCTGTGATGTTGTCAGTCTGTCAAATGTTTAGCTTGCCGGACCTGAAGGCCAAGTGAGTCTAATAGTTCTGTAACTCCCTTGATGAGACACTATTATTTGTAGATGTACAATAGGGGTTTAAAAATACCTCAGGTCTCTCTCACTGTAGCTGAAAACATTGTCTACATTGTATTGCCTTTTCTTACCCATCAGCGTTGATTTTGGTGGAACTTAGTATTTAGTGGATATCCTATATGAGAAACACCATGGCCGCTTTCATTGATCTTGATCCAAATGGTTGGACATATTAGACCAGAGATTTTTCGTTTATGAAATAAGGTCGGACCTAGTAATCTGATGCTGCTTTCAGGTGAGCCTTGACAAAGCCTTGCAAGGCCTGCATAAACATTTGCAGCTCTGCTAGGATTTATACCCTATAGTGTTACATTTACAAACGACAACCGGTTGTTCCGCACAAAGGAACAGGCTTCATATAACCAGGATCCAGAAATCCAAGATGGCGACTGGTTAAGGCCAAAGTCACTGACACCAAAAATAGAACAGGACTGATATACTGACAAAGACTGTATTTTATGGCTGTAGCTTTCTGACGTAACAGTGTTTGTTTTAATTGTAAATTGTAATTTTAACTGTATATGGTGGATCGCCTACATTAATAAAGCAATATTTCCTGGATCCTGAAATCCAATTCTTATTGGCCGAGACATATTTTACCTTAAGTTTTGTTCCTTTATAAAGTTTTGTTCATACTTGTTTATAAATGGTACTTACATACTATTATGAGGTCAAGGACTCTTACACAAAATTCTTATTTAGACATTCTTTGTACATTTCAGCATCCAAAGGTTTTGTACCTAAGAATATTCTTACACTCTACCAATCCACGGCTCCACAATCCTACTCACCTCCTCAAACCTCCACCACAGTGACTAGGACCTGCTCCATACTGGAGCCTGTACCTGTTGGAGGGGAGAGAGGGACGGGGCTAGCAGCAGCCAATGTGGAGGACGATGAGTTTGACTTTGCTTTAGAGGAGGACATGAGTCCAGAAATCACAGAGGAGATCAACGTTTCCAGCTCGAGTGGTTCTGAAGAGGTATATACTTTAGCACAGTTTCAGTAACCAATGAAATGTCACATATTTGGTATCACACTTTTGAATCAGTTCTTGTTTGTACTAGCTTTAGTGAAACATTCTAATGGAACATTATTTATATGATCACTACAAAGGAAAAGTTGCACATTAACGGCAGAGGTGAAAGTAACACATTGAGTTCAAGGATGAAGGTCACAGAGGTCAAAGTTGAGAGGTTGCTTGTGGAGAATAAAAGTAAAGATCAGACTTTGAGGTTGAGTGATAAGGTCACATTGAGATCAAAGGTGGAGGTCGTACATTAAAGTTAAAGGTAAAGGTCATACATCCAGGCCCAAAAGGTGGCATTGAGGTCAAAGGTGGAGGTTATACATTAAGGTTAAAAATAAGGTCACACATTGAGGTCAAAGGTTTGTTAACTTAAAGGTACAATGGTGTTTTTTTCAGATATCAGATAATAACTTAAATACATATTATAACTCAGTTAACAAAAGGTGCTTCTCACTTAATCTAGTCTAGTAAAAGATATCTGTGTGAAGTAGTAAATGCTTCTCACTTAATCTAGTCTAGTAACAGATATCTGTGTAAATAGTAAATGCTTCTCACTTAATCTAGTCTAGTAACAGATATCTGTGTGAAGTAGTAAATGCTTCTCACTTATCTAGTCTAGTAAAAGTTATCTGTGTGAAGTGTAAATGCTTCTCACTTATCTAGTCTAGTAAAAGATATCTGTGTAAATAGTAAATGCTTCTCAATTAATCTAGTCTAGTAAAAGATATCTGTGTAAAGTGTAAATGCTTCTCACTTAATCTAGTCTAGTAAAAGATATCTAATCTGTGTGAAGTTGTAAATGCTTCTCACTTAATCTAGTCTAGTAAAAGGTATCTGTGTGAAGTAGTAAATGCTTCTTGGTGCTTGTCAGCACTTTTAAGTGAAAAGCATATCACATCACAAAGCCATGAACAGGATTCCCAATATTGATAGAAATGACATCTGTTAATTATTGGGACACACTGACTACTTCAGGTTATCAGATACCAGCATTCATCACTCTTGAAAGCAAATAATTATGTTGAAAGGACTTTTTGATTGATAATAGTTACATGCATAAAATCAGACCATACTGACCTGTTACGTTAACCTTTACATAGAATATTCATATTAGTGATTGCATTTTTTGGGCAGGTATGCCTACCTGTTAATTGATGTTCAGATGTTTTTACCAATGCCATTCTTTGATTCCCTCTGAAATTTTCTCTGAAACATGCAAAGAATCTATGGTTCTTAGCACTGATGTAACTTTGACCACTAGGACAAATTAATTCATATAGATTCAGCAGTAATGTTCAGAGTTATGAATAGTAGAATATGTCATTTGTGATATTGACATAAATTTATGTTTTTCACTTATGATACATAATGCAGTTTAAATCAGAATTCAGGTGTTGCACCAAAAAATAAGGGTGAATATTTAAATGACATTGATCTGGAACTTTAATTCCTTTTTCAAACAAGTTAAAAGAACATTTATCTATGAATTTGAATTAATTTGTTTTGTAGTTTTACTTTGCGGAGTTTGGATTTGAGGCAAGGACTGTTACAGAAGTATCCATGTTCGAGGGCCAGGTCGTCACAGTGCTAGCCAAACACGACCAGGAGGGTAACACAGAGTGGTGGCATGTCGATGCCGATGGGCTCCGGGGCTATGCACCTTCTATCTACCTCAAACCCATGAGCTGACTCTAGGTCAAGGTCAGGTCATCGGGGTCATTGTAGTGTCAGGCAATCACTACCACAGTTGAAGGACTGGGCATGTTCATCTGATTCCAGTGTTTGGACTAGAGCTACGATTGTGATAAAGTTTGGAGAATACAGGTTTTTTACTGTGAGAACTTGAGAATATATGTTTCCTATGAGATGGAGGTGTAATGTGGTGCTGTTATCCATGAGAGTTACAGACAAAGAAATATGCAAAGGATTTTTTGGTATGGTTTATTCATTATGACATTTGATAGGAATGCAAAAAAAGCATGCATCTGTAAAACAGACAATATCAAGGGAGATTACTCTTAACACAAATGACAGGTATAATGTGTTAGGCAATGAAGGGTAAATCATGTAGAATAACCAACGGAGACTTACTGCAAGGCTAGTGTGTAATGTCAAAGTTCAACTTAACTATGGTATTACATTTATTCAAGGTAGATGTACCCCCAAAATGTAAGTGATACGTGTCCTCACGGATCTCTTGTTTACTCGATGGACTCCAATGGCAGGTGTTCATGTTATTGAGATTGTGGTCAAGGAAGACATATTTATATTACTTATCAATTGATAATTGTGTATGTCTATGTGTTACTATCTACAAATGATACTGATGTCTTCCCCTGGAACACTTTTTTTGTGATGATCACTACATGAATATTAAACAAAATTCCAAAAGCCTCATTGAAAATACTTGTTAAATCATTCTAGGAAAACACAAATAGATTGATAATTTTTTTGAGAAGAATCTATCTGCAACCAGTGAAAAATAGAGGTAAAAATATAAGAATAGGACTACAACACCTACAACAATCAAAAGTTAAAATAATGTATAGTTTCTGGAGCATTTGGAGAAAGATTTGACATTTTGAGTAAAATGATGTATGGATTGAGAAATTCTGTTAAGTATTCTCAAAAGTGATAAAAATGGGTTTCAGGAGAAATGTGGATGAGACATTGCTGAGAAGTATTTTTAACTTACTATAGATTATTTGTGTTATAATTTATACCATGATGACATTCGGGTACACTGCAATAATGTAGATGTTACAAAATGCCTTTTGTGATTGTTTAGGTCTATACTTGTATTGTTTAGGTCTATACTTGTATTGTTTAGGTCTATACTTGTATTGTTTAGGTCTATACTTGTATTGTTTAGGTCTATACTTGTATTGTTGTACATGATGTATAGGCCTAGCAAAGTATTGTGTGTTTCAGGTTTCATCACTCCAAAGACTCGGTTAGGTCAGTTGGTACCTTTATTATGTCCTCTAACTGAATGGTAAGGATTTACTGTGTTCCTCTGCCTTCTCTGTGGCCTACAATTGGCTGAAGCCTCACATAAAATATACTTTGTTGGAGGAATAAATAACAGATACACTGACATCCAACAACAGACTTTTAACATTTATCATCAAGCTATAAGTACTGTTTAATGTGTGCCTGATATATAGAGAAGGATTCCAAACACCCTAGATAACTTGTATTATTGAGGTCTAACACTGAAATGTTTTATACAAGCTTAGAATAGAAATGTTCTCCAAAGAAAGGTTATTGGAAAAAACCAACACAATAGGCTTATTATATTTGGATAACATTTATTCCAATAGGGCAAGCTTCCATCTAGCTTGTTTATCTTTCTGCACCTGGTTAGTGCAAATCGAGCAGGCCATGTTTGGCCGCTCATGGCTGGCTATAAGTTACAGTTGTGGGATCGCACAACGTTACACGATGTGCGGTGTGTGAATGATGTGTGCACGAAGTGCGAATGATAAAAAATTGGACGATCATTGCTTGCGCACATTTTTGCGGACGATGGACGAACGTTGTGCGATAACAATCGTGGTTGGTGTAAATTGAGGAATGCCTTAACAATATATACGGTTTCGTGCATGTGTTTAAACACATAAACTTGATTATTTAGTATGTGTCTATAATTATTCTAGCTACATCTATAAGCTTATCTTTCTCTCTATACTTTCTTAAATTTAGAAACGGTGTTTTTGTGTTTTTTAAACAACCTAAATCGACACATGTAAAGTTACAACAAAATCTCGGCAATACAAGTAAACATAGCCACTTTGTACCTGTACTAGACCGTAGTTATCTCCCGCCCGGGGCATTTACGTAACTCGCCAAGGTGTGAAAACCAGGTGAAGGGGAGCTATAGACCAAAGCAAATACAAATAACAAATATTAAACGTCCAGTTATGTTTTCATAACGGTCATACGGCATCACATATCAGCTCTGTCAGGCACAGGCCAGGTAAAACTCATCACTCATCAAATTGTTATTTACCTGTTCTGTTACCTAGGAGCTAGATCCATTCTTGACAGTCTAACGGTCACTGTAACACTGTGTAACACGCATTGTAAAATTGAACATAATCTTAATTATTTTGATGAGAAATTACAGTAATATATACAGTGTACATTATTGCTTACGAGCCTTTTGTATTTTTTTCATTCCGTAATATTGATCAACAAATTGTACCAAATCGCACAGATGTGCGGAGAAATTTGCACAACGGGGCGAACGATTGTTAAATCGCACCATGTGTGGATGATGTGCGGACGGTGTGTGAACGATGTATGCACTGTGTGCGCACAGTATTTTTGGTGCGATGTGCGGTCACACAACTGTACTTTACATTTTTACATATTAAGGCAATTTGTGTTGTTTTCATTTGTATACACCCACCTGTTGTGAAGTATACCGTATGTGGGTGTCATACTGTCCATCGGTTCACCCTTTGTGTCTGTCATCATTACGCATGTCTTCATGTCTTCAGCTTCCTTTCAGTTTGATGTATTTAGTTTTGTGAATGTCCTGTTTTACAGTGTTGTTTGGCCCTAAAAGACTCGCAATTAAACAAAACAAAAAAACAAACAAAACAAACCTATAAAGGTGCTCAACCAAATGTCTTGAAACTTCACAAACGTCTTCCTGACTTCAAACTTTGGAGGCCAGTCGAGAGTCAAGGTCCTACCTTCAAGGTCAAGGTCACAGCTGTAGAATTTTAATATGATTCACAATGAAATTAGATATATGCCTGTCTGCAGGTTCCTGGCTAAAGTAATCAACCTAATTTCATCAACCTTCATACAATCATTCCAGACATCAAGAACCAGTAGGACTTTACACTCCTATTTTGTGTAAATAATCTCAAAATTTCTGAAATTAAATCCTTTATGAGTTAATATAATTAACAGTTTTGAATTTGATTTCAGTAAATTATCATTGATTAATAAAGCTGAAGTATATTTGTAAAGATTACAGTGTTTTTAGCAACTACCATACCTAGTGTCACATGACCTAAACGTCAGGCTGTTCAATAGCGTGTGTGCTATATATATAATGGCCAATTGTAATTTGTGTGCATATATCAACTACCGGGTAATTTTTGTTAACACGACAGCTATATATTAACTGTATACATATAACATTTTTATGTATTTACTATATAATCATTATAACAGTTTGTTTACTTCCCATAGAAATGTTATAGAACAATATGTTTATTTTCCCTAGATATACTAAACCTAATCTTAAATTTTCAAAACAAATATGCTTCAATATTCAGACAAACATTTGAACTACAGTAGATGCATCAATTATTTTAACATCATAAAAGATAACTGTCATACATACCTATGCCTATGCTATAAATTGTACTGATGTTTTTCCTTTTGTTGATATCCATAATTTTGTCACAAATTTCAAAAACATCCAAGAAATGTTATTATTCTTCCATCTTTTAAAACAATCCAACTTTGCTTCCAAAATATGAATTTGAAAACTGACCAATCACAGTTCAGGATTATAGATAGGTCTGTAGAAAAGCTTGTGTGGATTTTGACAAGTTTTCAGAAAGCTTGTTGAATTTAGACCAGCTATTGGAAAGCTTGTTGAATTAAGACCAGCTTTTGGAAAGCTTTTTGAATGTAGACCAGCTATTGAAAAGCTTGTTGATTTAGACCAGCTATTGGAAAGCTTGTTGAATTTAGACCAGCTATTGGAAAGATTGTTGAATTTAGACCAGCTCTTGGAAAGCTTGTTGAATTATGACCACCTATTGGAAAGCTTGTTGAATTTAGACCAGCTTTTGGAAAGCTTGTTGAATTAAGACCAGCTTTTGGAAAGCTTGTTGAATTTAGACCAGCTATTGGAACTTTTGGAAAGCTTGCACAGAACCTTGTAGATTTACTGCCGATTTATACACGTGTGCAAAGTAGAGATTAGCTAGCAACAGCTAATTAACTAACAAATGAGAAACTGGCTGTTCACAGCAAAGATTCCTTTCTGTTTGGGTGCTGGGCTTCTCGTCACTGTATCACTCCCATCTCCATTCTAACCATTGTGTAACGGTGCTATCCCACAACTGTACTGCTCGTAGACCAGTATTGTCACTGTGTTACCCTTGTCCAGTATTAGTCTATTATGATCATGGAAATCCTGCTAGAACTACTGTATTTATCTTGAAATAAGCCCATGCCTTCTTATAAGCCCATCCTGTCAAATATATTCGGTAGAAATGAAAACAAATGTTATTCCATTTTTCTTTAAAAAGGGAAAGGTATGGGTTCACCTGCCCGACCACATGGGTTTTCTCCGGGTACTCTGGTGTCCTGCATATTAAGACCCCCAGCGTGCTAATATCCAGGCCGATAAGAGTGATTGATATTTGATATACAGTATATTCTTTAATAAGTTCACTCCCTTACTTACAGATTATGTGTTGGTCGCATGGGCTTCTTACAGGATAAATATGGTATTTGCACCAAAAAAGCCTCTGTTGTCATTTTCTTTAAAGTAGAGTGTTTATTTTGTATTGTTCCTTTATCAGTTTACACAGTCTCTAGTATATGGCATGCACAACATACACACTGGCAAAATTTGTATGAAAGTTTGTCTCTAACATCTTACATACTGTATTTATGGTCTATAATTGTATCATTTAGTATTGTGTATATTGCCCAGTGTTTAATACACTGTATTAAATGTGTGTGTTCTACTTAGAATTGTTTTGTACATTGTCCTATACATACATGTGCTTTGTTACTTATTTATCACATATCTATAGTGGCTTTCTCATGCAGTATGCAAACATTCAGCGATTTTATAAAAGGAATGACAAAGATATTTGAGGCAGGTGGTAGGAGAGGGTTATACATACTGTATATACCCCAAAAAAGTAAAAGTTTGTGTGCTCATTGGTTTTTAGCTCACCTGGTCCAAAGGACGATGGTGAGCTTATGCCATACCGTAGCTTTCGTCGTCTGTTCGTCAACTTTTCCTTTAAAACACCACTAGTCATGAACGACTAAGCAGATTTTGACCAAATTTGGTCAGAAGCATCCTTGTGGGAAGGGGAACAAATTCTGTATAAATGGTGTGTCTGGCCCCCAAGGGGCCTGAGGGGCAGGGCCCAATAGGGGAAACATAGTAAATTCTTTAAAATCCTTCTTATTCTGTAGGAATGAAAAGATTTGGTCCATATTTGGTCTGAAGCATTCTTGGGTAAAGGGGAAACAATTTTGTATAACCTGTGGGTCTGGACCCGTGGGGGCTGAGGGACAGGGCCCAATAGGGGAAACATAGGAAATTCTTTAAAATCCTTCTTATTCTGTAGGAATGAAAAGATTTGGTCCATATTTGGTCTGAAGCATTCTTGGGTAAAGGGGAAACAATTTTGTATAAACTGTGGGTGTAGCCCCCCTGGGACCTGAGGGGTGGGGCTCAATAGGGGAAGTAGAGGTAAAACCTTTATAATCCTTCTTCTACCATAGGGATTAAGGGATATTATCCTAATTTAGTCTGGAGTATCCTTGGGCAAAAGGGACTCAATTTTGTATAAACAGCGAGTTTGCCCCCCCCCCCCCTTGGGGGCAGAAAGGAGGGGCGAGGGGAAACATAGCAAATTCTTCAAAATCCTTCTTCTTCTGTAGGAATGACAGGATTTTGTCCAAATTTGGTATGAAGCACCCTTGGGTGAAGGGGAACCAATTTTGTATAAACCATGGATCTGGCCCCCAGGGGCCTTAGGGGAGGGGCCCAATAGGGGAAACATAGCAAATTATTCTTTAAAATCCTTCTTATTCTGTAGGAATGAAAGGATTTGGTCCATAGTTGGTCTGAAGCATTCTTGGGTGAAGGGGAACCAATTTTGTATAAACGGTGTGTCTGACCCCCCTGAAGGCAGAGAGGCAGGGCCCAATAGAGGAAATAGAGATTAAACCTTTAAAATCCTTCTTCTACCATAGGGATTAAGGGATTTTATCCTTATTTAGTCTGAAGCATCCTTGGGTCCTTGTATAATTGGTGGGTATGACCTCCCTAGGGGCATAGGGGTGGGGCTCTGTTTGAAGGTTTTTCTAGCTATATCTCAGGTACTGGATTGATCTTCCTGAAATTTCATATGTACTTACAGCACCTACCATGGAGTGCTATATCTTTACTTCATACCAATTATTTTAAACATATTCAGGTGAGTGATACAGGCCCTCTGGGCCTCTTGTTAGTATATATCATATCTCCCACCTAAAAAAAATCTAGGCCATTCAAAATTATATTATACTCCCCCCCCCCCTTTTTTTAAGAGGATATATGCAGCTTTTCATTACATTCTACTACAACTCACTTTCCTAGCCAATATTTATGAAAGTTGATCAAATAACTACTGTTGGTACATTGAGTAATTTTACAACTGTCATTTCTTTTATAGTTTTATAAGAGTTATTCCCCTTTTCTAATTTTTCATGTTGAACAGGGGAATATTAGATTTTCTATTACTCACAGTACTAATTCTTTTTTTATGTTAAAATAACATTTTTAAGTTCACAGTTTACAAATATATCTATCTAACTTACCAAAAAAACAAAATCCGAATTGAAACTAAGTGTAGAAAAAGTATAGTTCCATTATATGTGGTATACATAATGTAGGATTTAACCTGGAAGAGTCCATCATTTTGAGAATAGCCAAAATTGAAATTTAATATTAATATGCAAGTGTACTTTATCACATGTTTATGTGTTCATAGTGTAACGTGACGGGGAGGAGGGTTCCAGAATACAACATTTCACAGCAGAGTTCTATTTACAAGTTTATTTACACTTTATATACAACGTACAGCATCACGGTCAGCATACTAGTCCATAACAACACCTGAGAGAATCCCCTAGCTAATTTACCTCAGCTAAGCTATACAGGAGACAGCCTAATCACGTCTGTCCTCCACTAGATCACTCCCCTTTCTCCCCGAACCCCACGATGGTCTCCCCCCAGCTATTACTCCTAGGTGTACCTCAGAGGTCAGCCCTGTAGCAGTGACAGCTCCCATGACCTTAAAGGTCAACTCTCCGGCTCAGCCATGTGCCAGCCTGCTGCCCGCTATCAGTATGGTCCCCCCATCCCGGTGTCAATTAAAGCCTGTACTAAATACATGCCCCATCATCCTTATCAACCCATTACTCTAAACACAATATACACGGATTAGGGATATACAAACACCAATTTATCACAATAGTAACAATGTTTGCAGTAGGTATACACACTCATTGTATCCGTGAAAAACTGCTTTGTCAAGCTTCATAGCTAGTCTACCTTTGTCACATCCCTCCTGTCTTCATATGGCTAAGGGTATTACTAGGTTGGCTAAGGGTATTACTAGGTTGGCTAAGGTTATACTAGGTTGGCTAAGGGTATTATTAGGTTGGATAAGGGTATTACTAGGTTGGCTAAGGGTATAACTAGGTTGGCTAAGTGATACTATTAGTTTGGCTAAGGGTATTACTAGGTTGGCTAAGGGTATTACTAGGTTGGCTAAGTGATACTATTAGTTTGGCTAAGTGATAATATTAGTTTGGCTAAGTGATACTATTAGGTCCAGAGTTAATTGATCATTATTATTAGGTTCAAAGTGAACTTTTTGTCTATTAGATGTTGAGAATAAAAACAGATTATACAACCTAAGGAGTCAGAACAAGGATAAGCTATGATAATTTATAACGGTTGTAATATATGTATTTCACTGGCTAATTTGTGTGTTAAAGTACTACGTGTAGCCTATCAAATACATGTATGTACTACTCTTCTGTATGGATAACAGGATTTTAACCCTACATGGTCTAAAACATTACCGTATCAAGGGGATTCAAGTTGATATAAACAAAGGATGTGGCTTCATAATGGTGGCAGAAAGTCAGGCCCCATAGGGAAAATAGAGGTAAAGCTGTATGTTAGGTAAAGCCTAAGGGATTGTAACAGAAATAGTCTGAAGCATTATGATGGGCGAGGGGAAATCAAAGTTTTATACACAAAGGGTGTGGTGACTCTCGGGTCAGAGGTTGAGGCACAAAAGGGAGAATAGAGGTAGAAACAACTCCTCTTTACCAGTCAAAGGATTGTTAACCAGTCTGGTCTGAACTTGTTAAAAGGGACATAAATTGTATCCCCCTCCAGATAACAAAGGTACAGGTAAGTGTTACAGACCTTGTGGGCCTCTTGTTCTTTTTTTTTTTATAAAAATCAGTACACTGATGGTTGTAGCAAACACTTGTATTTTGCGAGAGGGGATCGGGTTGTAGTATACATCTGTTTTATGCAAGACGGTTGTTCATGTAGTAACATATTGCATGTAAAAGTGTTTAAGTATACATCTGTTTTATGTGAGAAGGTTGTTGCAAGTAAGAGGATTATAGAATTTTCACTGATAAATTGTTGTTTTTGTTTTTTTCATTTTGGCATTTTGACTGGAACCTATTGACACGATGGAAATGTTATAGTTGATAAAGCTGCTATACCTAATAATTTTGTTGTGTCAATTAGGTGCTGTATGCAATACACTATCCACTATGTCAATTAGGTGCTGCATGCAATACACTATCCACTACACTGTAGTAGGTATGGAGTTTAAAGTGAAAAACTCCACTTGTTGTTGTTAAATGTGACACCTGAAAATGTGCCATGTACATATCACTTCTACAGGGTACCCCAGCTTAAAACATTGTTAACTCATTCACCCCTGAAATTTCATTATGAACTATTCCAACCATTGAATTGGAAGAGTTCAAATGTGTAGTCCGGGGTGAATGAGTTAAATTAATCTATCTCTAATTCATCAAACATGCACAAAGCCTCCAGATGATGAATACGACTTTATCAGCTGACATGTTAGGTGATGCTTGGAGCCTATGCTAGCTGCGTCTATCATTAACCTTTTACTGGATCATTAGGCCTACAGTTACGATTGTTATGTTAGGTCATGCTTGGAGCCTATGCTAGCTGCGTCTATCATTAACCTTTTACTGGATCATTAGGCCTACAGTTACGATTGTTATGTTAGGTGATGCTTGGATCCTATGCTAGCTGCGTCTATCATTAACCTTTTACTGAATCGTTAGGCCTAAAGACACGATTGTTATGGGAGGTGATGCTTGGAGTCTATACTGCGTCTATCATTAACCTTTTACTGAATCGTTAGGCCTACAGTCACGATTGTTATGTAAGGTGATGCTTAGAGTCTATACTGAGTCTATCATTAACCTTTTACTGAATCGTTAGGCCTAAAGTTACGATTGTTATGTTAGGTGATGCTTGGAGTCTATACTGCGTCTATCATTAACCTTTTACTGAATCGTTAGGCCTAAAGTTACGATTGTTATGTTAGGTGATGCTTGGAGCCTATGCTAGCTGCGTCTATCATTAACCTTTTACTGGATCATTAGGCCTACAGTTACGATTGTTATGTTAGGTGATGCTTGGAGTCTATACTGCGTCTATCATTAACCTTTTACTGAATCATTAGGCCTAAAGTCACGATTGTTATGCTGTAGCTTGTTATGATAGGGAGCTGTCAACTACATTATTTGTTCAAAATAAATATATTTATATATACATTGCAGTGTCTATATAGCTTTTTGCTAACATTTTTACAATGCAGATTTGTTAATACACAATAATTTATCATAAAATGTAATAATACAAATTAAAGGATTTATAACATGAATTACATTGGGTAGTTTTGTTTATTATCACTTTTAGAATGTGTCAAGCTAGAAATGTTAGAACAGTGAAACATTATGAAAATGGTACCAGTTGATAAATCTTGTGCAGGATTTCATGTGGTACATGCACTTATTTTATTAGCCCACCATGTCCTATGTAGTTTTTAACGCTATTCAAATCACCCTGCGTCCATGGTCCGTCGTTAAACAATTCTTGTTATCGCTATTTCTCAAGAAGTACCAAAGGGGTCTTTCTCAAATTTTATACACAGGTTCCCCTTGGTCCTTAGCTGGGCAGGACAACTTTGGAGACTGATCGGATACACAACATGGCCGACAGGCAGCCATCTTGCATTTTGATAGTGAAAGTTTGTTATTGCTATTTCTTAAGAGGTACCAGAGGGATCTTTCTCAAATTGTAAATGTAGGTCTCCCTTTGTCCTTAGCTGTGCATGGCAACTTTTGAGACTGATCAGTTAAACATCATGGCCGACAGGCAGCCATCTTGGATTTTGATAGTGAAAGTTTGTTATTGCTATTTCTCAAGAAGTATTAGAGGGATCTTTCTCAAATTTTAAATGTAGGTTTCCCTTGGTCCTTAGCTGTGCAGGGCAACTTTTGAGACTGATCGGATAAACAACATGGCCGACAGGCAGCCATCTTGGATTTTGATAGTGAAAGTTTGTTATCGCTATTTCTCAAGAAGTATCAGAGGGATCTTTCTCAAATTTTATATGTAGGTTCCCCTTGGTCCTTAGCTGTGCAGGGCAACTTTTGAGACTGATCGGATAAACAACATGGCCGACAGGCAGCCATCTTGGATTTTGATAGTGAAAGTTTGTTATCGCTATTTCTCAAGAAGTATCAGAGGGATCTTTCTCAAATTTTATATGTAGGTTCCCCTTGGTCCTTAGCTGTGCAGGGCAACTTTTGAGACTGATCGGATAAACAACATGGCCGACAGGCAGCCATCTTGGATTTTGATAGTGAAAGTTTGTTATCGCTATTTCTCAAGAAGTATCAGAGGGATCTTTCTCAAATTTTATATGTAGGTTCCCCTTGGTCCTTAGCTGTGCAGGGCAACTTTTGAGACTGATCGGATAAACAACATGGCCGACAGGCAGCCATCTTGGATTTTGATAGTGAAAGTTTGTTATCGCTATTTCTCAAGAAGTACCAGAGGGATCTTTCTCAAATTTTATATGTAGGTTCCCCTTGGTCCTTAGCTGTGCAGGGCAACTTTTGAGACTGATCGGATAAACAACATGGCCGACAGGCAGCCATCTTGGATTTTGATAGTGAAAGTTTGTTATCGCTATTTCTCAAGAAGTACCAGAGGGATCTTTCTCAAATTTTATATGTAGGTTCCCCTTGGTCCTTAGCTGTGCAGGGCAACTTTTGAGACTGATCGGATAAACAACATGGCCGACAGGCAGCCATCTTGGATTTTGATAGTGAAAGTTTGTTATCGCTATTTCTCAAGAAGTACCAGAGGGATCTTTCTCAAATTTTATATGTAGGTTCCCCTTGGTCCTTAGCTGTGCAGGGCAACTTTTGAGACTGATCGGATAAACAACATTGCCGACAGGCAGCCATCTTGGATTTTGATAGTGAAAGTTTGTTATCGCTATTTCTCAAGAAGTACCAGAGGGATCTTTCTCAAATTTTATATGTAGGTTTCCCTTGGTCCTTAGCTGTGCAGGACAATTTTTGAGACTGACCGGATAAACAACATGACCGACAGGCAGCCATCTTGGATTTTGATAGTGAAAGTTTGTTATTGCTATTTCTCAAGAAGTACCAGAGGGATCTTTCTCAAATTTTATATGTAGGTTCCCCTTGGTCCTTAGCTGTGCAGGACAACTTTTGAGACTGATCGGATAAACAACATGGCCGACAGGCAGCCATCTTGGATTTTGATATTGAAAGTTTGTTAACGCTATTTCTCAAGAAGTATCTCAAGGGGGAGTTTTTCTAAACATTTTCCGTGGCATGGCAGTAACCAACAATTAATTTCCTGTTTTGTTATCAACAAAAGAAAGATGAAAAAGATAAAATTTAGAATAATTTACTTGCAAGAAACAAAAACACAGAAAAATCCAACTACATGAACAGATTGACAAAAAATGTACTTAATAACAAAATCAGTGAGCTAGTTTATATAAAATATCACAGTCAGGAATGGCACGCTTAATATCACAGAAAGTATCAGCACTCAACACAACACTGTAAAGTAATCACAGTATCCACTCTGTCAAACGGCACAGTTCAGGTTGTTAGTTTTTCATTACCAAGTTAACGGAGTATAGGATAAGAAAATGTGAGGAAATTTGAAAAATACACTTATTAAAATCTTAATGCACAATACGCCTTCAAACTGAATAGTAAACAGACCACAAGTCATTGTAAACTATAATAGTGTCACTTCAGTAGTTAACCCTTCATTAAACAAGAGGCTAGGAGGGCCTGTATCATCCACCTTGTTATTTTAGCAACAAATGTCAAAATGTTGTTATCAAATCTATAGTGAAAATATTTCCCAAATTTCTGGCTCCATCTGTCGGCACCTAGGTGGACAACAACCTTCAAGTTCCTTTACCAAATTTGATTTCCCTTTCCCAAGCATGCATTAAAACAAATTTGATCCACTCTGTTAGACAAGTAGGTTTTTAGGGCCCACTGAACACCCCCCCCCCCCCCCTTTTGGGTCCAGCCCCCGAAAGGATGTTATACAATCCCCCTTTTCTAACAATTGTTTCCCTGATCCCAAGGACCAAGAATGCTTTGTGGCATATTTGATCAAAATCCATTGAACCATCTCGGGTGAGTAGTCTTTTGAAGATAAGGTAATGAATGAATGACGGACGCTGCACAAAAAAAGCGTAAGCTCAGCTAAATGAATAGATTGACAAAATCTGTAATTAATAACACAATCAGTGAGCTAGTTCATATAAAACATAGGCAGGCAAGCGAAAAACCACAACCTCCCATATGCCATTGGACAAGTTGGTATCTGTGTCGAGAACAAGTTACAACCTAAGTTCAAACTTAAATATTTTATATATTGTAATTCATGATCAATGGATTAAAAATAATTCATTGTACAATCTGATAGCACCAACAAACTTTCCTCATTTGGCACAAGGTAAACACTTTATAACAATCAAAGTACTGAAAGTACTGCAACACAAATAAACACAAAACATGCATGAGGAAATTTTGCCAGATGCAAAGCTCACCTTTGTGAGAGACTCCCCTCTCCCAGTGCAAGCCTATTACCTCCCTTAGTACCCTTCGGAGACTATCACTGACAAGTATACTATCATGGTACTTATTACATACAACAAGGTGTGGCACCAATATCAGTCTACAGCTCTCATTAGCACAGTGTGTTGAGACAAATGTGTATAATAGGTTCCCCTATAAGTGTATACCTTTAGGGGTGACATGGCTTGTGGTGCAGAATGTAAGGCTCTCTATATACATCTTATAAAACAATCAACTTGACATTTGACCTTTTAATCTGAAAGCGATCCAAAACAACCACTTTACCGGTTTATTGAAATAGACATTCCATTTGGTAGTAATTTACATTCAACTTTCCAATGCCAAAGTTCAAATCCTATTTAAGTTCCCTGTGTCCGAGATCCAATGGCATTTATATTAGCATGTCAAATTCATAAAACATTCAAATTTATCTATGCCAGAGTTCACAAAATAGTACACCATTGATACTGCAAAAGCTAATTTTTGCATCAAAAATGCTAAATTTCTAACTAAACTTAAAGGTAAGCATGTGTTTTTATTCCCCAATCATGATCATTTCGGCAAAACTTCATACAGTTCTTCCTTACTATAAGGACTTGCTTGGGGTTCACCGTTGACTTTCATGTCTGAAAGTCTAACATCGTGGTCACTATTACAATAAATAGAAAAATAGTTTCTCACAACAACTTTAGAGTTCACATGAAGCTGAGTAAACTAAATGTCCCACACTGTTTCCTCACAGAAAGTGCTTACTTGGGGTCATGTCACTGTTACTATGAATGGAAAATAAGTTTTTACACAAAAACTATCCACTGGGACCACCAAACTCAACCTTTCATAAGCTTCCTAGCTCGAAGGGCTTGTTAAAGACTGTTTTTCGTGTCAGAAGGTCAAAGGTTAATGTCACATTTACCATAATTATAAAAACTTTTTACACAATAACTTGAGTTTATGTGGACTTACCAAACACAAAAGTCACCAATGCTTCCTCACATAGTGTGCTTGCTTAGGATTGCTTTTTGCTTTTCATGTTCAAAGGTCAAGGTCACTGTAGCTATAAATAGAACATTGGTTTTCTGGGAACTGACTAAATACTATAATACTTCAAACACTGGTTGTTTGGTTGCATGCATGGGATTACTTTCCAGGCATGAATGTCTGTTTCAAGGTCACTGCTACTGTAGATAGGAAATGAGCCAACAACACTTAACTGCATCAATTGCCTTCTACTGGAAAGGCTTGCTTAGTATTAGTTTACAGGTTCAAGGGTTAACCTTTTCACCACTGTAGACCATAATGGACTCCTCCAGATCAATGCATGGTAGAGTCTATTAAAGTTACATAGGGGTGAAAGGGTTAAGGTCAGTGCTACTATGAACAGGGTACTGTATTACATTCTGCACTACATCAATACCATGGTATCAAAAATCAAACTGTATCATCCAACAACTAAATCCCTGATGGGAGGGAGACTGACATTGCTCAGCAATACCTTGGTAAGTAATCAAATTGTCTGACATCCTCAACGCATGACACCAATAAATATAAACTGAATACTAACTGAATAATCACCTAATAATCATATCAATTAATTATTGATTACACATTACATTCCTGTTACCCCCTACTAGTAATGGTTTTCTTTACACTATGTGTGCTTTTGGATTTTGTAAAAGGTCTGTCTATATCAAAATGTTTTCAATATACATTCAACTAAGTAACAGTTACTATATAAAAGAGATGAGCTAAAACATATACTCAGTTCCAATTATATATACGACCCCCACTCCCCAGCAATTATACGCCCCCCACTCCCCAGCAATTATACGACCCCCACTCCCCAGCAATTATACGACCCCCACTCCCCAGCAATTATACGACCCCCACTCCCCAGCAATTATACGACCCCCACTCCCCAGCAATTATACGACCCCCACTCCCCAGCAATTATACGACCCCCACTCCCCAGCAATTATACGACCCCCACTCCCCAGCAATTATACGACCCCCACTCCCCAGCAATTATACGACCCCCACTCCCCAGNGACCCCCACTCCCCAGCAATTAAACGACCCCCACTCCCCAGCAATCATACAACCCCCACTCCCCAGAAATACAAAAGATGTTATTTTGTGACACCTGCACTATCATCAAGTAATATACAAAGCAGAAAGGTTTTAGCTATGAATGTCAAAGATCTGATGATGGCAGTCATGATGTACTTTGAATATTTAAAGTTGATTCATTTACATCTAAGATTACCCCCTACACTATATATATTATATAACTAGGGATTTAGATACCAAACTTAAATAAAATTACAAAAGACAGGATGATCAATGTCTGCCTAAAACAACTCAATTACAGCCCTAAATATCTCAACCAATGGCTACTATCTTGGATGTTGGATCAGAAGAAAATTCACATTTACACACAAGTCCATGAATATGTGAAGATTCCTTAGAAACCAGCAGGAGTTTTGGGAAAAGTGTTCTAAAAGTTCATGACAGACAAAGATGAAAGGAGAATAAAAATATTAAACAAAACAAGTAAGTCCCCAAAGTTTGTTTGGTGAACTCAACCAACAAAACATTATATAACACTCAACAGAAAGTAGAACAAGCACCCGACAACTCTAGGTGTCAGTTGTCACAGGGGTCAGTTGTCACAAATTAAATGACGATCCACGTCTGTCAAGTACTCGACGAACAAAACTTAACAAAATTAAACGACACATTTCTTTCCATATAAACACACGAAGTGTGTTCCTGCATGATACAAAAACTAAACATGATTTTATTTCTTTTTTATACAGGCAGTAAAACTCAATTATCCCTATTTTCTTAAATTACGAAAATTACTACTATAGTCACATAATCAACATAAAATGATTTTAAGTAAAAGTTTACAAATAACTAAGTGATATGTGAAGGTAGTATGATGACCTGACAATACCACTATTCTTCATTTGTTGTGATTTAATTTGCTGGGACATTTAAAGTTAAAGATAATGATCAAGGATGAAAAAAGACCATGAACTTCAGGCATGAGCAGCTATTAGTTTTTTCACGAGGTCCTGGGACAGCAAACCCTCCCCGCGCTTCATAAGACGTCCAATTTTTGGATTTTTCTTCAACTCAATCACAATTGTGTCATCAATCTTGGAGGATTTATTCGATCTTACATTGTTTGAATAAGTGACAGTCTGTTTCCTTTCACCTGTTGTGGACTGACCTTTGTGGTGAAGGGATGGTGACAGTTGTTTTGAGGTTGACTTGTCTGGTGACGATTTGCAGATAGCTTGATGGATTAGAGATTTGTTTGTGGTGTTGACAGCCTGCCGTGTCCCTGACTTACCATTAGACTTCTGGGAGGTTGGGGAACTGTCATTCTTTATTGGAGATACTGAGCTGCTGTTATTGACTAGATTCTGATTTGTTCTAGAACTAGGTCGTTGTGACCTTCTTTGTCTTTTAATCCTCAATTCTTTCTCAAGCACATTTGGTTTGGTTTTTGCTCGTTTGGCCTTTGTTGGAACTGGCTGTTCACCAAGACGCTGTTTAAGTAGTGCAAGACTAGATTGGAGCTCGTCACCTTGACGTCGACTAATTCCGCTGTCTGCGGACGACTGTGTTTGTGTGTCACTGTCATCACTGCAAGCCTCGTCTGAAATCTCCTCATTGTATGCATCCTCCCAGTACCGTGCCTCGGAGATATTCTCCAGTAAAGAGATGGTACCCATCCCTCCAACACTGATGGGGCGAGGCTTGCTGTGATCCATGTGGGGTACAATTTCTACCCCAGACTTTTTCCAGTCACTGTTATTTCTACTGCTACTACTGGTTTTCCTAGAATGACTACGAGGAGTAGAATATTTATCACAATCTGACTCGGCTCTCTCTGAATATCCACTGAGTGAGGTATGGAACGAATCTGACTTAGATTTTAAAAGACTCAAATCTTCCTTTGGACTGAAAGTTGAACTCCTGTCATCAAAACTTGAGTACCCTGTATCCACTGTCCTACAAGAGTCTGCAGCACTCAGATCAGTTTTACAAGACTGTGCAGGACTCAGTTCTTGATCTTCTGATGAAACCTTTTTCACAGTAACATGGTCATTAGAATCCGAGTTCATCTTAACAGGAGCGGTAGAGGGACGTGGTTCCTGAATTTTTGTATCAGATTCTCCAGTCATCTGATCTCCATCTGTTTGTTGATGCAGGAAGTCATCTTTGACATTTTTCTTTGAAAGGTTAGCTGTTTTGGACTTGGACATGTTTTCTGTCAGACGTCCCTGGTATGAGTTGGGAAGAGATTGTTTGACTAGGGGGTAGTGGCGACCTTGTTTTGTCTTTGCATCATGCCATCCATTGAACCTACAACATTGACAGGTTTACTATAACACATCAGTGGAACCTAAAACATTGACAGGTTTACTATACACATAAGTTCAGTGGAACCTACAACATTGAAAGGTTTACTATAACACATCAGTTCAGTGCAACCTACAACATTGACAGGTTTATTATAACACATCAGTGAAACCTACAACATTGACAGGTTTATTATAACACATCAGTGAAACCTACAACATTGACAGGTTTACTATATCACATCAGTTCAGTGGAACCTACATCAGTGACAGGTTTACTATAACACATCAGTGAAACCTACAACATTGACAGGTTTACTATAACAAATCAGTGAAACCTACAACATTGACAGGTTTACTGTAACACATCAGTTCAGTGGAACCTGCAACATCGACAGGTTTACTATTACACATCAGTTCAGTGGAACCTTCAACATTGACAGGGTTACTATAACACATCAGTTCAGTGGACCCTACAACATTGACAGGTTTACTGTACCACATCAGTTCAGTGGAACCTACATCATTGACAGGCTTACTATAACACATCAGTTCAGTGGAACCTGCAACATCGACAGGTTTACTATTACACATCAGTTCAGTGTAACCTTCAACATTGACAGGTTTACTATAACACATCAGTTAAGTGGAACCTACAACATTGACAGGTTTACTGTAACACATCAGTTCAGTGGAACCTGCAACATCGACAGGTTTACTATTACACATCAGTTCAGTGGAACCTTCAACATTGACAGGGTTACTATAACACATCAGTTCAGTGCAACCTACAACATTGACAGGTTTACTATACACATCAGTTCAGTGGAACCTCCAACATTAACAGGTTTACTATAACACATCAGTTCAGTGCAACCTACAACATTGACAGGTTTACTATATCACATCAGTTCAGTGGAACCTACAACATTGACAGGTTTACTATAACAGTAACAGAATTCATGATTTTTTTAATGAGAATGTAATGAAGAAGTGATCAATAAATACAACATGAAAATATCTCATTAAATTAGTGTAGCAATGATAGATACATGCAACATAGAGAAATTGTAATTGACTATACTCCATTTTAATTATATAGCAATACCTACCTGGCATCACACAGCTTGGCTTGTGTCCTAGACACACTCGGCTCAGGGTACGCTGATTTTGTGGATGCCTGTTCCATACGCTGTAGGTGTAACAGATGAGACTCCGACTTTGGTCGTTCTTTTAGAGTTATCTCCTCATGCTTACGCAACTGTAGTATTTCAGATTTGGGACGAGGCTTGGACACACTAATGTCTTCTGTAGAAAAAAAACCAAGAGATCTGTATGGTGGAGGATCATACAAACAACATATCAGTGCAATGAACATCAGTCAGAAATGGAAAATGTGCGTACTGGTTTCATATGAAGTGGTGAAAAAGTTGAAGTTGTAACAGCTAGAGAATATGAGGGTAAAATATTGCCTATCTGGCAAGCTAGCTTTTCCCATGATGCAGTAGAACCCAGAGACCTGCTCACCAGCTCACCAATGTCAGTTGCTGCATCAATCTTATGAGCAAGTTGCGATATAATTCTGTTAATATTTTAACCAAAAGATTTCGATAATGAAACTTTCAAATAGAATTTCAAGGAACTTCTTTTTAGTTTTTAATTAATGATTTAACTATAATTTATCCTATTACCCTTTTGAAAGCTAGTAGACCAAGAAATCCCAGAAGGACCTTGATGCTCACCATTATTAGATCTTCATAAGTTCTCATCTTTTCATTTCTATTTACTGCTGATAGTTATGTCTACAGTAAAGGCATCTTGTAGTAACTTTCGATAAAACTTAATACTGCTTTGTTTGACATTGTAGTTTCCAAGCGAGGCTGTCTTTTGACCATTTACCTAAGTCAATTAACTTTTAAAAAATAAAACAAGACCTTGATTTCTTAAACCGGGCAGCTATATCTTTCTACTCATTTTGCAGCATGATGCCACCTGGTAGACCTCTTCTTCCTGATGACGCTGAAAATAAAACATCTGTGAGGTAGTACATACCTTGGTGTCTCTGTTTGTGACCTGGGTTGTATAGTACATACCTTGGTGTCTCTGCTTGTGACCTGGGTAGTATAGTACATACCTTGGTGTCTCTGTCTGTGACCTCAGTAGTATAGTACATATCTTGGTGTCTCTGTCTGTGACCTGAGTAGTATAGTACATACCTTGGTGTCTCTGTCTGTGACCTGGGTAGGATAATACATTCCTTGGTGTCTCTGTGACCTGGGTAGTATAGTACATACCTTGGCGTCTCTGTCTGTGACCTCAGTAGTATAGTACATATCTTGGTGTCTCTGTCTGTGACCTGAGTAGTATAGTACATACCGTGGTGTCTCTGTCTGTGACCTGGGTAGGATAATACATTCCTTGGTGTCTCTGTGACCTGGGTAGTATAGTTCATACCTTGGTGTCTCTGTTTGTGACCTGGGTTGTATAGTCCATACCTTGGTGTCTCTGTCTGTGACCTGGGTTGTATAGTTCATACCTTGGTGTCTCTGTGTGTAACCTGGGTAGTATAGTACATACCTTGGTTTGTCTGTGACCTGGGTAGTATAGTACATATCTTGGTCTGTCTGTGACCTGGGTAGTATAGTACATACCTCGGTGTCTCTGTCTGTGACCTCAGTAGTATAGTCCATATCTTGGTGTCTCTGTCTGTGACCTGAGTAGTATAGTACATACCGTGGTGTCTCTGTCTGTGACCTGGGTAGGATAATACATTCCTTGGTGTCTCTGTGACCTGGGTAGTATAGTGCATACCTTGGTGTCTCTGTCTGTGACCTCAGGAGTATAGGACATATCTTGGTGTCTCTGTCTGTGACCTGAGTAGTATAGTACATACCGTGGTGTCTCTGTCTGTGACCTGGGTAGGATAATACATTCCTTGGTGTCTCTGTGACCTGGGTAGTATAGTGCATACCTTGGTGTCTCTGTCTGTGACCTCAGTAGTATAGTACATATCTTGGTGTCTCTGTCTGTGACCTGAGTAGTATAGTACATACCGTGGTGTCTCTGTCTGTGACCTGGGTAGGATAATACATTCCTTGGTGTCTCTGTGACCTGGGTAGTATAGTACATATCTTGGTCTGTCTGTGACCTGGGTAGTATAGTACATACCTCGGTGACTCTGTCTGTGACCTGGGTCATATAGTACATACCTTGGTGTCTCTGTGACCTTGGTAGTATAGTACATACCTTGGTGTCTCTGTCTCTGACCTGGGTAGTATAGTACATACCTTGGTGAATCTGTCTGGAACCTGGGTAGTATAGTACATACCTTGGTGTCTCTATACCTTGGTGTCTCTGTCTGTGACCTGGGTAGTAAAGTACATACCTTGGTGTCTGTGTCCTGGGTCATATAGTACATACCTTGGTGCCTCTGTGACCTGGGTAGTATAGTACATACCTTGGCGTCTCTGTCTGTGACCTCAGTAGTATAGTACATATCTTGGTGTCTCTGTCTGTGACCTGAGTAGTATAGTACATACCGTGGTGTCTCTGTCTGTGACCTGGGTAGGATAATACATTCCTTGGTGTCTCTGTGACCTGGGTAGTATAGTGCATACCTTGGTGTCTCTGTGACCTGGGTAGTATAGTTCATACCTTGGTGTCTCTGTTTGTGACCTGGGTAGTATGGTACATACCTTGGTGTCTGTGACCTGGGTCATATAGTACATTCCTTGGTGTCTCTGTGACCTGGGTAGTATAGTTCATACCTTGGTGTCTCTGTTTGTGACCTGGGTTGTATAGTACATACCTTGGTGTCTCTGCTTGTGACCTGGGTTGTATAGTACATACCTTGGTGTCTCTGCTTGTGACCTGGGTAGTATAGTACATACCTTGGTGATTCTGTCTGTGACCTGGGTAGTATAGTACATAACTTGGTGTCTCTGTTTGTGACCTGGGTTGTATAGTACATACCTTGGTGTCTCTGTGACCTGGGTAGTATAGTACATACTTTGGTGTCTCTGTTTGTAACCTGGGTAGTATAATACATACCTTGGTGTCTCTGTTTGTGACCTGGGTAGTATGGTACATACCTTGGTGTCTCTGTCTGTGACCTGGGTAGTATAGTACATACCTTGGTGTCTCTGTGTGTAACCTGGGTAGTATAGTACATACCTTGGTTTGTCTGTGACCTGGGTAGTATAGTACATAGCTTGGTGTCTCTGTCTGTGACTTGGGTAGTATGGTACATACCTTGGTGTCTCTGTCTGTGACCTGGGTAATATAGTACATACCTTGGTTTGTCTGTGACCTGGGGAGGATAGTACATATCTTGGTGTCTCTGTGACCTGGGGAGTATAGTACATACCTTGGTGTCTCTGTGACCTGGGTAGTATAGTTCATACCTTGGTGTCTCTGTTTGTGACCTTGGTAGTATGGTACATACCTTGGTGTCTCTGTGACCTGGGTAGTATAGTACATACCTTGGTGTCTCTATGACCTGGGTAGTATAGTTCATACCTTGGTGTCTCTATGACCTGGGTAGTATAGAACATATCTTGGTGTCTTTGCGACCGGGGTAGTATAGTTCATACCTTGGTGTCTCTGTGACCTAGGTAGTATAGTACATACCTTGGTGTCTCTGTCTGTTACCTGGGCAGTATGTATTCATGGTGTAATCCATCATAATCTGGAACCTGCCGTCCTGTTTAATAAGTGAATACATAGTACATACCTTGGTCTCTCTGTGACCTGGGTAGGATAGTACATACCTTGGTCCCCCTGTGACCTGGGTAGTAGAGTACATACCTTGGTGTGTCTGTGACCTGGGTAGTATAGTACATACCTTGGTGTCTCTGTCTGTTACCTGGGTAGTATGTATTCATGGTGTCATCCATCATAATCTGGAACCTGCCGTCCTGTTTAATAAGTGAATACATTTCTGCAAATCTTATAACGGATATTTTCTGTCAAGTAAGCATTGAACTGCATTGAAGATTTGGCTGCTTATTCATGCTGTACTTTGCACATTCCAGTTGGCAATCATATTGACAAATGAATGCCAACTGAAAGCTATTTGATACTTATAGTACCAATTTTTAAAAGATTTTAACCTTATAAAAAATGAAATATATTTATTAGAATTCAGCTTTTCTCTTGCATATTTATTGTGAATGCTTGTTTAATGAATATAACAGACATCTTTCCATGGATGGTCAATGTTATCCAATGATACAATTATTGCATTATAATAATGATCATAGCTGTTATGAATGTCATCTGAACTACTTGGTAACTGTACCCATGAACTACATGGTAACTGTACCCATGAACTACATGGTAACTGTACCCATGAACTACATGGTAACTGTACCCATGAACTACATGGTAACTGTACCCATGAACTACATGGTAACTGTACCCATGAACTACATGGTAACTGTACCCATGAACTACATGGTAACTGTACCCATGAACTACATGGTAACTGTACCCATGAACTACATGGTAACTGTACCCATGAACTACATGGTAACTGTACCAATGAAATACATGGTTACTGTACCCATGAACTACATGGTAACTGTATCCATGAACTACATGGTAAATGTACCCATGAACTACTTGGTAACTATACCTATGAACTACTTGGTAACTGTACCCATGAAATACATGGTAACTGTACCCATGAACTACATGGTATAACTGTATCCATGAACTACATGGTAACTGTACCCATGAACTACTTGGTAACTGTACCCATGAACTACATGGTAACTGAACCCATGAACTACATGGTAACTGTACCCATGAACTACATGGTAACTGTACCAATTAACTACTTGGTAACTGTACCCATGAACTACATGGTAACTGTACCCATGAACTATTTGGTAAATGCACCCATTAACTACTTGGAGTGTGTACCCTTGAACTACATGGTAACTGTACCCATGAACTACATAGTAAATGTAACCATGAACTACATGGTAAATGTACCCATGAACTACTTGGTAACTGTACCTATGAACTACTTGATAACTGTACCCATGAATTACATGGTAACTGTACCCATGAATTACATGGAAACTGTACCCATGAATTACATGGTAACTGTACCCATGAACTAAATGATAACTGTACCCATGAACTACATGGTAACTGTATCCATGAACTACATGGTAACTGTACCCTTAAACTACATGGTTACTGTACCCATGAACTACATGGTAACTGTACCCATGAACTACTTGGTAACTGTATCCATGAACTACATGGTAACTGTACCCTTAAACTACATGGTTACTGTACCCATGAACTTCATGGTAACTGTACCCATCAACTACATGGTAACTGTTCCCATCAACTACATGGTGACTGTACCCATCAACTACATGGTAACTGTACCAATCAACTACATGGTAACTGTACCCATGAACTACTTGGTAACTGTATCCATGAACTACATGGTAACTGTACCCATGAATTACATGATAACTGTACCCATGAACTACATGGTAACTGTACCCATGAATTACATGGTAACTGTACCCATGAACTACATGGTAACTGTACCCTTGAACTACATGGTTACTGTACCCATGAATTACATGGTAACGTACCCTGTTCAATGATTACACACCATATACAACCACCATGGTACTCACAATGGTTTCCATGTCAAACTGTAAAACTTCAAACTTTTTTTGTGCGTCCTGGAGATCATCCTCCGTGATCCCTAAGGGCTTGTCCACAGGCTCTGCCTCCACATATAGCGGGCGATCTGACGTATCCGTCACTGGACCGTCACCTTGACAACAATTCAAGTCATAATGATTCAGGAGAGTCTGTAGTGTTCAACTAGACCACAATAATGCATAGGCTGAGCATACCAGTACATTTATGCAGATTCAAAAAGTTTGACCTGTATAATTACGTAAATTGGTCAAGCCTGTTTACATCAGCTGAAAGCTCAACACTGGAATGTTCACTACAACTTTAAACTTCTTTTAAATCCGGCAGAGGTTTTAAACATATTAGATCCTGGTGACCTTGAAAGAAGGTCAAGGAAATGTATTATAACAAGAGGCCCAGAGGGCCTGTATCGCTCACCTGAATATAATTAAAGTAATTGGTATGAAGTAAAGATATAGCACCATGGAAGGTGCTGTTAGTACATATGAAATTTCAGAAAGATCCATCCAGTCCTTGAGATATAGAGAACAAACTTCAAACAGAGCCCCACCCCTATGCCCCTACAGGGGTCATACCCACCAATTATACAAAATTGAGTCACCGTCACCCAAGGATGCTCCACACTAGATAAGAATAAAATCCCTTAATCCTGATGGTCAGAGAAGGATTTTAAAGGTTTTACCTCTATTTTTCCTATTGGGCCCCACCCTTCTGCCCCCCCCTCGGAGACCACACCCACCGTTTATACAAAATTGGTTCCCCACTACCCAATGATGCTCCACACCAAATATGGACCCAATCCTTTCATTCCTACAGAAGAAGAAGGATTTTAAAGAATAATTTGCTATGTTTCCCCTATTGAGCCCCACGGCTCAGGCACCTGGGGAGCCAGATCCACGGTGTATACAAAATTGGTTCCCCTTCACCCAAGAAGGCTTCAGACCAAATATGGACAAAATCCTGCCATTCCTACCGAAGAAGAAGGATTTTGAAGATTTACGTCTATTTCCCCTATTGGGCCCCACCCCTCAGGTCCCAGGG